CTACTGCCCCATCCTCCCCCCTCCCTGAAAGCCCTTCATCTCACACAAGTGCCCTACACTCTTCATATATTGGAAAATAGCTTTTTGAGGCTCCTTACCTTCTCCCATAGTTAGCCCCAGGGAGAAAAGAAATATCCAGAAGAACATAACATTGACTTTGTCTTGGTTACTTTATCCTCTTCAGGAAGCTGTTATTTACCCGAAACTGAAACATGTCCCACATGGGAAAAACAACCAGCATGGGCCAGGGAATGTGCTGGGTTGAATCTTGCAAGGCCAAATTCTTGCAAGGCCTTGAAAGATTCAATCCAACATGTTCCTTGGGTTGTTTTTCCCTCAAGGAATGTTTTAGTTTGGGGTAAATAACAGCTTCTGGAAGTAGATAATGTACCCCAGAGAAAGTTAATTTGATGTTCTGGTCATTGATGTTTTCTCCTTGTTATTTGCTATGTCTTTTTTTTTCTAACATGGAGGGGCAGCATCCTTCAGTACTGTGTTACATTAAATGTGTAAGTAGTGTATTGTAAGTATATTTCACATTTTTTATTTCTCCTTTTCCCAAAGTAAATGCTCCATGATTTTTTAATGACACATTTGTGTGTATGTGCGTGTGCACATCAGTTTGATCATAAGTTGAATGACAGGAATCAGTTCACATAAATGTTTTTGAACACTGGTTTGTAGATCAGTATTATTCGTTCTGTATAAATGATTTTCAGCCAAAATGCTGAGCCATATCCAAGAACAAGGCAAGGGAACAACACATTACCTTTTAATGTATTGAATACATTATTGTAATGTTAAGAAAATTCAGGTGACCTTCTCTTTGAAAAGCTACAGGTCTCCTAGGCCTTGGAGCAGGGACTTGAAATTTGGCAGGGAAGTGGTCTTTGTCCTTTTGCCATCCTTGTGAAAATCTGTCTACATTTGGCTAAATTATAAACCTTTGACACATCTTAGTTTGCACATGCTCACTAGAGCATATATTTATATATGTCTGTGATTTAATATAATGAGTATTCCTGTGGCACCTTAGGATATGTCTGCACTTCAGAGCTATAGCTATTGGGCGTCTATTGAAGCAGCCCGTTATTTCGAAATAATGGGAGGCTTATTCCGGCATCCTGGTAACCCTCGTTTCACGAGGGCTAAAGGGGCATTTTGGAATGGGAAGTTATTTCAAAATTTGATACTGGGTAGACAGCACCAAATTACGAATTAAGCTATTTCAAAATACACTCGAAATAAGCTCCGCAATTTGCATAGTGCAAATTGCGTAACTTATTTTGAGCTAAGGGTGCTGTGTAGATGCTCCCGTAGAGACTAACAAAAATATATGTATAGTATCATGAGCTTTTGAAAGTTCATGTTACTATATGTGTGTGTGTGTGTGTGTGTTTGTCTCTAAGGTACCACAGGACTTCCCTTTTTTAAAATTACAGACTAACATGGCTACCGTTCTGAGACTGTAATATAATATGTTTACTTTTTCCTTTTTGTATTATTACTCAGACATCCAATCCAGAGACCCTGGGGGAGGATTGCTATTCAGGTAAGATGCTTTCTATTTATGTTATGAAGCAGGTTAGAATTTATGAATTTATACCCTTCTTCTTTTAACTGAAATTTCACTGCAGATGGAACAAGTATATTTGAAAGCATGCAAATGATTTAGTTGAAACAAACCAAATCGTAGGGCTTGCTAAGGATGTCAATTTTATGTTTCGCTAGTTTTATTTGGTTTCCTCGCACCTTTAAAAGTACATTACAGGTGTGCTGAAGAAAAGTTGTTTGATGGAAAGCCATTTAAATTCAGTATATCTTACTAACAAAGGGATGCAGAACGGTCTTATTTTTAAATTTTAACTGTGCAGAGAAATAGGTATTGTAACTCAGCTGTAAAGTGTGGTAAACTCATGTAAATGGTAAGGATTTACACAAACAAGTTAGCCAGGTGCTTATTGTATGTAGTTTTATAAAAATCTACTGACACAGAAAAGCGTATATCTTTGGGGGTTGGTAATGGTATAAAGATCTTTGCAACTCTACATTGCTAGCTTCTGGGAGTCTGATTAAAAAATGTTAAACTGACATCTGTTTGGTGATTTATGTGAAGCAAGTTGGTGGCCCATTTTCTTTTCCTACAGTGCTACTTGAAGTTCAGTCTTTAGGGAGAATGTGCCTGCGGTGGGCTCAAAGGGTGGGCCTGTGAGAAGCTGCAGAACTAAAGAGTGAGCCTGTTGGGTGAGAACATGGGACAGGAGAACCAAGTGCTCACAGGTTTGTAGGAAGAGGTAGATCTCTGGCTGCTCCACAGTATTGATGCTGAACTTCCTTTGTTCCTCACAATCGAACTGGACTCTCCATGCTGTGGTAATGCATAAAGGATTGGAAGGAGGGAGGATGTGAAAGCCTGGAAAAAGGATGGGATGATGGGATCTCTCAGACAGGGAAGTCCACATGGACAGAGGAAGGAAGAAGTGCTCCTCCTGGGATGTCAGGGAACAGCATCGGATTGGAAGAAAGTGTAAGGGTGTAAGTGTAGCCTGGTATAAGGACAAAATCATTACAGGCTGCACATTGAATTAGGAGACAAAGAATTGACCTGGTTAGGGTAGGAGGAGAGTGAAAGTCATAGCATTTAACAAGTGAATGAGCAAGAACAAGGACAGGCTGGGACTTATAAAGGAAGCTTTCATTTGTAAGGTCTTTGTCTCCTTTCATTATTGGTAAAGGGAACCAAAAATTGTCCTTACTGGTGTTCCTTCCATGAGCGGAGTGAATTTTGGCCCATGTACCAATATTGAGGTCATGTGCTGGTTTGGATGTGTGCCATCATGGAACCCAATTTATTAACACATACGTGTTCCCGGCCACGGGAGCAGAAACTGCCTCCCCCCGCAATGGAGCATTCCAGAGCAGACATCTCCCATCCCTTACTAGGTGGCAGGTCCCGTTCCCGGCCCCAGCTGCCAGAACAGTATCTGGTTTTCCCTGCCACGTGGCATCCCTGGCCACTGGAGCAGGCTTCCCCCCATGAGGCGGCTGCGGCAGGTCCTGGACCCCGCCCTAGAGACTTCCTCACCACGCAGTCTCAGCCAGCCCCACCCACTGGAGCAGCCGCCTGCTGTGCAAGTACTGCCATGAGGCTCTTCAGAGAAGGTGGGCGGGGGAAGAATTTTTGTGCGTGGCCATGCAGGTGCGCGCCTTAGTGAGAACTATGATCCTTACTATGTCTTGAAGGTAGAATGAGAGAAGAGCAGACTATGACAAAAAGAATGTTCAGTGAGTAATTTCCCTTTATCATTTCAAGTAAATTTAAAAAATAATGATTGAAAGCTTTAAAATATGTTGTGCATTAAAAATGTGTTAGATATTGGATCACAGCATTTCTCGAAATTTGTTTTATTATCTAGTATCCAGCATGGATACAGAGGAAAGCTTAACAATTCCCATCAATAAAGATTTTTATGAAATCCTCATGAGACAAGAGAGCTGTCTACGTGACCTCATTGAAAAGAAGTTTGGGTGTATATCTCTGCTTAAAAGTATAAAATGTCCTCTTGAAGTGTACAGGAAAAGCCTGAAAGAAGGAATTGAGGTATCTGTTTGGATGGATGATATGACAAGACATACTGCTGATGCTTTGGTGAATGCAGCCAATGAACATCTGGACCATATTGGAGGCCTAGCACTTGCCCTGGCGAAAGCTGGTGGGCCAGAAATTAAACAAGAGAGTAAAAGTTACATTGAACGCCATGGAACACTTAACACAGGTCAAATAGCGGTAACAGGTGGAGGCAGGCTTCCGTGTAAGAAAATTATTCACGCAGTAGGTCCACGATGGTCTGTATATGAAAGTGAGAGATGTTGTCAGAGACTTGAGGCAGCCATTATAAGTGTCCTGAAATATGTTAATGCTCCAGAGAATAATATAAGCTCTGTGGCTATCCCTGCAGTGAGCTCAGGAATTTTTGGGTTCCCATTAGACTTATGTGCTCATGTGATCGTACAGACTATTAAGAATTTTGTTGAGCTAGCTCCGTTATTTGGCTGGGTCAAAGAAATCCGCTTGGTGAACATTGCTGAGCCCACAGTTGCAGCAATGAAAAAGGCCTGTGAAGAGTTTCTGGGCAGGAGTGACTTCAACTCAGTTCAGGAGACTCCGCCAGCTTCAGCAAACCAGCTTCTAAATTCCATCACAATCAGAGGTCTTTGCCTACATGTCGTAAGAGGACACATTGAGGATCAGCAGGTAAGTCTTCACGGTGGAGTCTGAGGGCTTTGTTCCTGTGAAGTGCTAAGCATGGAGTTCCATCCCAGCACTATGCAGGATTGGATCGTAAAAGATCAGGGGGCATGATGTATTGATCCCGTAAATATGTGTCTTTCCTTCTTGCCTTCAGCTACCCAACATTAGAATTAGTAGATCAATACAATATATACCCACGTGTCATCTTATTATATGGCTATTGAGTTTGAAAAGCTTTCTGAGTGAGTAGGGCAGGGCAATCTACATAAGAACAGCCATGCTGGGTCAGACCAAAGGTCCATCCAGCCTAGTATCCTGTCTGCCAACAGTGGCCAATATCAGATGCCCCAGAGGGAGGGAACACAACAGGGAATCCTCACGTGATCCTTCCCCTGTAACCCACTTGCAGACAGACAGTGGCTAGGGACACCATTCCTACTCGTCCTGGCTAATAGCCATTGATGGACCTAAACTCCATGAATCTGTCTCACTCTTTTTCCTTCACTGCTGCAATTGACGCAGCGGTGTTGATTTAGTAGGTCTGGTGAAGACATGCTATGTCGATGGGAGAATATTTCCCATCGTGTGGACTAGGGATCTGAATGGTTAATCAGTTAACTGGTTAACCGGTAAGCATCACCCTTAGTAGGTAATACTTTCCGGTTATGGTTAACCGGTGGCCTGGCTGGAGCAGTCCCTTAGCCAGAGAAGCCGACCGTGCAGTGGGCAAGGGCACCCTAACCTGACTGGAACAGTCCCTGCCCATGGCGGAAGGCCACTCCAGCCTGGCTGGCCTGCTGTACCGCAGGCAGGGGGATGTTCCAGCCTGGCTGGCTTGCCTCTTATCCACCCCCGTGGAAGCAGTTAACCAGTTAAATACGTTTAATTAATTACACAGGATTTTGCATCCCTAGTGTGGGCACTGCTGTAAGTTGACCCAATTTACATTGACTTCAGTTACGTAAGTGAAGTAGTGTAATTTAGATCAACTTATAGCATTGGCATAGACCAGTCCTCAGTCTCACCATTCTGGCATTCAGTATATACTACAACAGCTGAAGATATTTTCTAAAACCAGTGTACATATCATCTTTAACCAGCATGTGATTTAAACAGCCCTATTTTATTTATTATAGCTGGAAAATCTGGTAAAAAAATGGCTATCCTAGTTATGAGCAAACCAGAAAGGGTGATTAGATTTGAAGCTGTGTCACCTGATAGTATTTCACAGACTATATTTCACAGAATTTTCCATATTTTGTTTGTTAAAGAAACAGCTGGACTCCTTAAGAAGTTTGTTTTTATAGAGGTGAAAATAAAGAGTATCAATTATGGTGATTGTAACTCAAGTTACAGTGGGGGAGGTCTAGGTTGGATATTAGGAAAAACTATTTCACTACAAGGGTGATGAAGCAGTGGAATGGGTTACCTAGGGAGGTGGTGGAATTTCCATCCCTAAAGGTTTTAAGTCTCAGCTTGACAAAGCCCTTGCCAGGTTGATTTAGTTGGGATTGGTCCTGCTTTGGGCAGGGGGCTGGACTTGATGACCTCCCGAGGTCTCTTCCTGCTCTGTGGCTCTATGATTCTATGGCCATTGGTTGGCTGACTATAGAAAGTTATATTTCTCATGAGTGATTAAATGGTAGTAGTTCAAAGCCTCGTATTTTTAGCTACTCTTAAACAGTCAAGCTAAGGTTAGACTCAAGTTTTGTGTTTCACAAATGGAGTTTCAAATTGCAGGAGCCCTAGGGAGTATGTGATTGGCAGAAAGAGAAAGCTCAGGGATTTCCATCCTCCCAAAGCGCTCCTGACCAGAGGACTGTTTGCATGGCCAGTAGAGCTTACTGTTCTAAGGCTACATTGACAGTATACACCGCTCATTGTGGTATGTAGGCTATGTATAGCTACATGCTACAGTGCCTGTTGCACCTACTGCCGTTGTAGTTACTCATGTCAGAGAACGGCTTTGGCAGGGGGTAGGTTAAGTTTCAGAAGCTCCTTGCTGGCCTAGCCTTTCATTGCAGCAAGGAGAGTTTCTAGGAACTGAACAGGTCCCCTGCCAGAGCCTTTCCATGCAGAGGGAAAGGGCTCCAACAGCAGAGAGCTGATGGATCCTTTCTCTGCTGTTCTTACCCCTGTGTTGGGTGCTGGAGCCTTTCTTTGCCCTGGGGAAAGGCTGCATCAACAGGGAGTCAGTGATTCTATATTGCTTATAACAGCAGTGTAGATGGGGAGGCACAGGAGTGTAAGCAATGTATTCGTATACCTAAGCACATTCTTCATCTGTGCATTTATTTGCCTGAGCTTTGCCTCACCCGTTATACTGCTGTTGAACCCTTGTAGAGAGCTACGCTGTTATATATTCTGCACATCGAAAGACACTTGTGCTACGTCTAGACTGGCATGATTTTCCGGAAATGCTTTTAACGGAAATGTTTTCTGTTAAAAATGTTTTCGGAACAGAGCATCTAGATTGGCACGGACGCTTTTCCGCAAAAGCACTTTTCGCAAAAAAGCCCCGATCGCCATTTTCGCCATCAGGGCTTTTTTGTGGAAAACAAATCTGGGCTGTTTACACTGGCCCTTTTGCGCAAAAGTTTTGCGCAAAAGGACTTTTGCCAGAACGGGAGCAGCATAGTATTTCCGCAAGAACACTGACAATCTTACATGAGATCGTCAGTGCTTTTGCGGAAATTCAAGCGGCCAGTGTAGATAGCTGGCAAGTTTTTCCGGAAAAGTGGCTGATTTTGCGGAAAAATTGGCCAGTCTAGACACAGCATTGTAGTATAGGTGTCCCTTAAAAGGGGGAGTTTCTGGAGTTTAAGAAAAAACTCTGCAGGCTGCAGAGGGACATTTGAAGTGAAGATCTAACAGTAGTGCAGGTGAAATATGCATTTACTGAAGTGAAATATACAGAAAGCTTGTGTTCTTGTCTTCCAGACTGCGATTATTGTTAATTCTGTGGTCATGAATGATCTGTCAAGAGGAAGCATTTCAAGAACAATTCTGCAAAAAGCAGGCTCATCTCTTCAGGAGGAATTTCAGTTTCAGTTACAAAAATTTCCTCCATATTGTGAGAAAGTCATAATGACAAAAGGATACAATCTGGCCTGTAAGTCTGTGCTGCACGTAGTATGGTCATCACAGAGCAGCAGTGATGAACGCAAGGTGATGTTCTGTTAAACAGGGTTTTCATTCCTCTTTCTCATGCCAGAAAGTAAAATAAGGGCTAAAACTCTCCCTATTTTCTGCAGACGCTAAAAACTGCAATGTCAAGATGTTTGCTTCAGATTCAGGAGTATCGTTTTCCTTCAGTTTCCTTCCCAGTAATTGGATTGGGAGTATTACATCTGACAGTGGATGAATTGGCAGATACCATGATTGACGAAGTGTTAAACTTTGCAAAGGAACATCCTGGGATGAAGTTAGATGTGTATTTTGTGATCCATCCAAATAATAGTTCTGCCCATAAGGTAAGAGGATTAGCATTAACTGTAAGAACTCACAATAACTATGAAGAAAGTTTTTGTGTATTTTTACAAGATAAAGTACTTTACATACCAAACTATATATCCACTCAAGCTCATCTGAAGAAGTGAGTTTTGCCCACGAAAGCTCATAATACTATACATATTTTGGTTAGTCTCTAAGGTGTCACAGGACTGCTTGTTGTTTTTAAAGTTACAGATTAACATGGCTACTCCTCTGACTTTCAAACTATATATAACATTTGTAAAAATGGATAGTAATGTATCTTTTTAATAAACCCAGGGCAAGCTTAAATCTGGCAAGATTGGACTTGTAGTCTGATTGACATTTCCTGAGACAATAAATGGCGCCCTGGCAGGGAACAGGAATCAGCCTATGTGAGAAACAATTCCTCTAGAATGTGTATGCTAGTGTGGCATTGCAGAATGCTAGCCCCTCTTTTGCCCAGTTGGCTTTCTGTAGTAGACAAGGATGTAAACACATGAGGCCAACTTCTCTGCTGGTGATTTCAATTGAACTTTACCTGTTTATGCCAGCAGAGAATTTAGTCCAGGTTATTTATACATGGCTATTTTAGGTATCTATATATTACAGAATAGAATGATAAATGACAAATTGATGTGGTTCTCGTTGAACCCAAAACTCTCATTGTCTTAAAAGGTGAGGTGTGAGCCTATAGACTAGCAAAAGTAATGGGCTGCATCTAGACTGGCATGACTTTGTGCAAATACTTTTAATGGAAAAGTTTTTCCGTTAAAAGTATTTGCACAAGAGAACGTCTACACTGGCACGGATGCTTTTGTGCAAAAGCACATATTTTGCGCAAAAGCATCTGTGCCAGTGTAGGCGCTCTTTTGCGAAAGAAAGCTCTGATAGCCATTTTAGCCATCGGGCTTTCTTGCGCAAGAAATTAACGTTGCTGTCTACACTGGCCCTCTTGCGCAAGAATACTTGCACAAGAGGGCTTATCCCTGAACGGGAGCATCAGAGTATTTGCACAAGAAGCACTGATTTTGTACAGTACAAGGTCAGTGTTCTTGCGCAAATACTCGCGGCCAGTGTAGACAGGCGGCAAGATGCAACCATGGAGTATGGGCTGGTAAAAAGATTACTTTATGCTTTTGCTTTTGCTTTTGCTTCTGCTCTGAAAGGCTATCCTGGACTATTGAATCATACTCCTGACCAAATTCAGATGTGAAATGTAATACAGTATGTATCAGTAATTGAGAGTAAGGAAATCCAAGCATAACTTACATGCTGAAGAACTACAAAAAGGTATAGACACTCCTACCTTCTTGGTTCTTCCTGTTAGTTGCTTTTCCTGATGGATCATCTCTTCCATGCCATTAATATGTAGGTTACATCGATATTGACTCCTAGAGTCACATAAACTGACTTATACCCACTCATTGACGTGTAATTTATACCACTATGCATGTAAATTCTGATGTTGTCCCTTTGTTTTTGCAATACCTGCAATAAGAATGTCCAAGTTTAATAGCAATGACTTTTGCTCACTTATGCTTTAGATTTACTGTTCAGTTTCTTCATTTTTTGTCAGTATAGTTCAGTGTAAAATCTTATTTTCTAATGTTGTATTATTTTGCAATGTATTTTTTATGGTGTTTGAAGATGGTTTTTACAGTTTTTCTATATGTCAGAACTCTGACAAATTACATTTGGTTATCATTCGTCTCTGTGTTTTCTTGGCCCACACGGCCAGTTTTTTCACTAACTTACCAAAGCCTGTTCTCTCTTCACCACAGGCCTTCAGGCTAAAAACCCAACATAAATTTTTACTGCTCAGTCTGCAGGAAGCCCAAACCTGCTGCACAGGCACAGAGCAGTGCTCCTTAGTGGCTTTCCACATGAGATACGGAGAGGTGCTTTGTGAGTTAGGTAGGAGGATAGTTAGTGCATCAGTGCACAGCCTCGATCCATCAGTATAAAACTGCAAGCAGGAGAACTAGGCAGCTTCTGTTTCTGCCCATAAGCTATAATAGCAGCCACAGCCTGGTCATATGGATTCCCCACGTATTATCCCCAGATGGAACTGGAAGAATGCCTTCTATGTCCCGTACAAAGCTCTGGAACAAGGCTTGGCACTGGGAACCAGCATTAGGTCTTGTGTGAAAGGAAACTTTTAAAATTGCTTTCCTAAGAGAAATCTGGCGAAAGAGACTCTGTTCATTTGTTAGTGCTTTGACACATAACTGGTTGTAATGTGATTCTAAATCTTTTTTTCCTCAAGATTTTCCAAGCCAAGTTTGATTCAGCAAAAAGCAAACTGAGAGTAGATGTGGCATACAACAAAAGTGACAATTTGAGTAAGTAAAGTATACAAAGAGTGAATAAGGTTCTGAAAATTATACTCTCCTGATAAAAATCTATTGTCTAGGGGTGACATGACCACCTAGGCATTCTGCATTTAATTTTTGACTCTGTTTTGTTATTTGTCAGGCAGAGGTGAAAAAGACAACATTGGTATAATGGGGAAGATGTATTACCTCCTCTAAAATTGTGTTTTGCAAAACTTGTATTAGGGTTATGGTACTGAATTAGTCTGCTTTTGACTTATCAGATTCTCATTCATGTAAAAAAAAAAAAAGTAATTGACGAACTAACTGTTCAATTCTTCGGACACCTTGCAGTCTTTTGCCCCTTGAAGAGCCCGTGTCATTGACATTGCTGTTATCAGGAGTTAGGGTTGAGTGCAGATCTTTGGGATTGCTAGTTCAAAAGCAGGATTTTTTAAAGGTGAATGTAGAATGGAGGAAGCTAAGCTTTGACATTTATCATTTATTCTCTCCAATCAATCATCTTCATCCCCATTCCTTTCATTTCAGGAGCCACTGGGTATGGTAAACTGTTGGCAGTGGTAGTTCTAACTGCTCTGCTTTGGCATCTTCATTCCAACTCATGCAAACAGATTCAGAGCACAATCAGCACCAGGGATGTAAAATCACATTTAATGAGTTAATTTAGCGTTTAACTGGTTAACTGGATAACTGGGGTGGGCAGCGGGGAGCGTTTCAGCCCACTGTTCTAGCCCGGCTGCTTCCGACCCCAGGCTGGGCTGCGGGCTTGCAGGCCGGGCATTGGCAGCCTCAGGTGGAATGGCAGCCGGCTACCTCTCCACCCCACCCCCGCCACTTCTGTTCCACAGAAGGCTGCCAATTTCCAGGCTGCAAGCCTGCACAGAGTGGGAGCCGGCAGCTCTCCTCCCTCCTCCTGCCACTTCCACACCTCCTCCCCCATGCGAGGCTGCCAACTCACAGCACTCACAAGCTAGGAGCCAGCAGCCCTCCACCCACGTTAGCAACCCTACCCATCCAACCATTCACATCCCTAATCAGAACCATCCTTCTGTAGAACACAGGATTTGTCATGTCCGACTCAGGTCCTTGCTGCCCCATCCGTGTTTGGGTAGCTGATGCTTCAAAGGAAGATGACCCTTCTGGCCTCCAGTAACTCACTTGGCCAGTTGTGCCTTTCTGGGCAAGAGGAGTTCCTGTCCAATGTACAAGTTTTAATCCTCCTTCTGTATTCTGGCTTGAATGGCTACAAGTCTAATTATTGACCATGAAATTATCTAACCCATCCTTTATGCCTAATTAATTGTCATTGATCCAGTGAATGAAAATAAACTTCAATCAGTTCAAATCAAGAGAAAGACCAATAGGACCCTTTAACTTAGGTGTGGTGGGGGCTTGATTCAGTCCCTGAGGCAGCCACTCTGAGGGAGGGAGAGAGAGAAGGTGCCCCCTGTACATATCTCTGGATTATGCTATTGGAAACAGATACAATCCAGGCCTGAATCATGCCCTGTATAGTAGTTTCTAATTAATCAAAATGAGATCCAAGTGAAAATCATCACTGGTTGATTTGAGAGAAAACTCGTCTTTCATCTAGATTGTAATAGACATCTTTATCAGAGGCCACCTGCTGAGAGGACATGAATGCAGCTGTCCCTTTTCAATGTGGTGATCTTGAAAGTTGTTTCCTTATTGCCCCCCCCCCCCAAGTTTTCCTAGAACCATGCCCAGAATTTTAATACATCTGACTAACTTTAAAAAAATAATTAAACTTTGGGGACCTAGGCATTTTAGATACTATAAAGTTCCAGAGCTTATTGTATAGGTTTAATTAACAGTAAAACTTACACCTGCAGTAGGGAGTGCCTGGTCTTTAGCCACTACTTTAAAGTTTCCAGTATAGTTTTGTTCAACATTTGGCATAGTCCTGTGAGATGCTGAGTATTGTCATTACCATCAGTAGGAATTGATGGAGCAAAGTACTTTGTGTGATTGGGTCTCAGTGCCAAAGGGTAAAATTTCAGTTCAAGACAATGTCCTGGGTGGCATTGCTTCCCTGCCTGTAGTCAGGTAAGTTGTATTTGGATTGTGCCTTTTATGTTCACATGATTGCAGGGAGCACCCCAGCCCACTACCATTTCCATCAGTGGACTCTTTAATGCAAGTTGAGAATGTTGTCATTTGAAACATGTTCCAACTAGCTAATGCAAAGCGAATGTGAGTGAAACACCGATTTGAGCACCGATTTACATCCTACTTAAAAAAAAATCCAGATGTAGTTAAGGTGCAAAAAGTACTTTATTTTATCCATAGCCAAACACCAGAAGGGATTTAAAAGGGCTCCTTTGTGAGTAGGACAGTGCCATCTCCTTCATTTCCCTGTAGAATTAACATGTATTCTCTGAACATGAAAACAGTCTTAACTAGAGACTTAAAAGCAAGATTTAAATTTTCAGTTTGTATAAACCTTTAATTTCATCATCTCCAGTGTCTCCCAAAATAGCAGCTGCAGCTTAAACCACATGTTAGAAGAATGTGGAAAAAGATGAAAATGAAAGAAAAAGTTTCTAAATGGCTCACAGAAGAGGAACTGCCATTTCATTTGACTTCAATCTACTCCTTTGAGTCAGTCATAATATTCACATTCTGAATGTATCATAAGGGCAGCAAGGTTTCTTTGTGATGCAAAGTCTCAGGCTGTATATAGAAACTTGTGACAGCACTCGTGAACTTCTTAGTCTACCAGTTGCACTTATATAAGCAGTATTTCTTTCAGGATCACGCTCTGAAAGACAGGCTGAAACTGAGAATACAAACACTGGACCAGCCATTGAACTTATTGGAAATCGCTGTGAAACATTGGAAGCAGCAAAAATATGGATCAAGAACATAATGCAAGTCCAGGAAAGTCACCTTTTTGTTATAGAAAACAATCACATTTTTAACCTAAGCAAAAAAGATCATACAGAACTCTCTCGTCTGCAATGTTTTGGTGTGTCCATATCAGAGGAAGTGATTGGTGGAAAGGCAAGATTAGAGATTCAAGGTCCTCCTAGTGCTGTGATTGATGCAGTGTTCGTGATTGAAAACTTACTGTGTGATGCGCAAGAGAATAATAGAGCCAAAGAAGAGGAACTGCTGCTGTCAGAGGGTCAGTGTGGTTAAAGGAATAAAAACAAATATGAAGCAGAGAGTATGTATATGTACTACTGGTATTTAGATAAGCTTATATGTGCGAATACAGTAGAATCACATTAATCTATGTGCTTATATACTACGGTAATAGGCACTGTGCAAACCCTTGAAAGACTGTGTTGACTTTAATTGATCCACTGGGCAAGATTGCAGTGTGTTGCAATTTATCCCACTCAGCTAGCCATGCGGATGTGGGTAGTCAGCCCTCATTCTGGGAGTTCCTCTAAGAAAGGCAGCCTGAAGGGCCAGCTAGCTGAGGCTCCCTGGGAAATGTGCTGCATCAGTGCGTACCCTTGCTGAACTGGTGCTGCATGCTTTATAGATTGCTTGCTGCAACTCATCTTCTGGCAGCAGACCTAGTGCTATGAGGGTCCCACAGATAGAGTTGCTGTGGTGGGAGTGACCCAGGCCCTTGGACTTTAGTATAGAAATTACTGATGTCAGTTAAGTCCATTAATTGTTTTTAACAGTGTTACAATAAGAGTGAATCTGAAACCTGTGCAAAATACCACCTCAATGGGCAACTTCTTGTCTTTGAAATATCATTGTTTTCCAGGTTAGTTTTATATGCCCTATAGTTAAAAGCCAGTCATTTTTCCTGGTCATTTAACATGGATTCCACTGTATAAAATATAGATATGCAAATACAGAGATACATAATGGAGAGGTTACATCCTGTATCTCTTGTTTCTGACTTTTCATCGGTTCCTTTAGCAGAATTTGATTTAACAGACATGACGTGTTCAACAAATTTAAATGCAAGCTATAATGTCCTTAGCAGAGTTGAATCAGTTAGAGACTTTCTAGATCTGGACACGAAGTTGCCCTGTTTAAATGTACATGAGTGTAGAAAGATGCTGTAGTATCCATATCCAATGATTATTGAACTCAATGGAAGTCTTTTCATTGACTTCAATGAGCTCTGGATCAGGGCCCAAATATCCTTCATGTTTTTTTAAAATAGAAATATTAAAATTAAAACTAATTTAGCAATAAACTCACGACTTACTGGAAATAACCAGTTGACCCATAAAGCATGAAAGGATAGAGTATCTCAGCCTCCCTTAACAGAACTCTTAAGTCATTACTGCTTCAAAAATATGTGGAAAGGAGGAGCCTTGATCCATATGCCCCAAACTGCTTGCTTTATGTAACATTCTTCTCTTACCTGAGCAACCAAAATAAACTCTTAACTTCTTCCTCCACTGACTGTTGCATTTAGGGTGAATTTAACAAGTGGAAAGTCTTAAATTATTATTAATTTAGTTTGCTGCTTGTACCCAGGCCTACTGGAAACTGGTTATCCTTCAGAAAGACTTCGAGGCAAGACAAGGGGTACCAAAATGCATTACCAGATCTCTCCAGTAGAATCATACTGTCAGGAATTCAAGGACCGAGAAAAACAGTTTGAAAAAGCTGGGCTTCGTGTTCTTAAGGTAAAGAGTGTCCTTGTGAAAGAAATCAGAAGGAATCTTAAGAGCAGTCATTTACAAGAATCTGGATGGAGTTAAGAAAGCTATGCTGTTTAAAAAAGAATAAGTGCAAAATCAATGGGCGAGGGTGGCTCCTGTGGCACAGGCAGAGGCTGCTCCATCCTGGCTGCTTCTGATCCAGTGCTGGGCTGTCAGCTGCAAGCCCGCATGTGCTGGGAGTCAGCAGCCTCCAGCAGGACAGAAGTGGCAGCCCAGGGTTGGGAGGGAAAGGCTGCTACTTCCAGCCCCATGTGAGGCTGCCATCTCCCAACCCTGTGTGCTCCCAGATAATGGTTAACCCTTATCTGGTAAGCAAGCATCACCCATTAAGATTGATGCTCACTGGATAAACAGCACAGCTTCACAGGTGATTAATCAGGCCCTTTCAGTGAGTCAGCTCCGCCTCTGACTGGGCGAGGCTGAATAATTACCTTCAAACTGTGCTTTTGAGCAGTTTACAGGGAACACTGCTGTTCACATCCCTAATTTAAAACAGGATTGCATAGGTCTATGGATATTAAATCTTTCATGGTTCCAGTAGATAAGATTACTTTTTAAAAAATTCAGATACCTGAAGGGGCATAAACCATCAAGCCTCAGGACATATGCTAATCTCTAAGGCTGTGTCTACATTGGCCCCTATTCCGTAATAGGGATGCAAATGTAGCACTTTGGAATAGGCCCCGGGGCATTTGCATTAACTTGGCTGCCGCTTTTTTCCGGCTTGTAGATAAGCCGGAGAAAAACGCCTGTCTGGCCGCGATCCTCCGGAAAATAAGCTCTTTTCTTACTTCATAGTAGGAATAAGAGATCCTCAGGAAAAGAGCTTATTTTCCAGAGGATCGCGGCCAGACTGGCGCTTTTCTTCGGCTTATCTACAAGCCGGAAAAAAGCGGCAGCCATGTTAATGCAAATGCCGCGGGGGATATTTAAATCCCCCGCGGATTTGCCTATTCCAAAGTGCTACATTTGCATCCCTATTACGGAATAGGGGCCAATGTAGACACAGCCTAAGTGAGTCAGAAACTTTTTTTATGGACAGGTTATTCCATAACTGGGGTTTTTGTACCTTATCCCAAGACATCTAGTATTGGCCGTTATCATAGTCAGTAACCTGGTTTGGATGGACCAGTGGTCCATCCATTCTGATATCTCATATGTTCCCAGACACCTCTTCCAAAGGTATTGCAGTACCCAATCTTCCTAAAAGTTTGTGATGCAGAACTGTGACTGAAAGGCACAATTCAGTCCAAAGACTTCTCAGCATGCACTTGATTCTGTGAGAGATTGAGTGACTAACTCTTACTGAAGTTAGGATCCTCACAAGATACCCTCAGCCCCTAGCTGGATCAGGTCCTAGCCACATACGCATTGGCATTTATGGCAGATACCTACATCCGTACAACACGAGTCATCCATTCAAAAATCACTGGAACAGGGCACAGTGGTTTTCTAGTTGACTTCCGTGAGAAGCACCGGGGCCATGTTTTTTCCCACACTTTAGATATATGTTGGCTATTCGAACTAGATCAAAATATATATAAAAAAGGCCTTGTTAGATTAAAGACTGTCACAGCATATGCTTTCAAAAGTATAGTTTTCATTCTACACTACTATTGTTTATATTACAGATAGAAAAAATATACAATTCTCTTTTATCAACTGCCTTCCAACGGATTAAAAAATATGTAGAAGGAAAAAATATTGGCAAGCAGGTGTGCCACAGGCTGTACCAGCGTGTTCCTGCTCAGTTCTGTAGCTTGGTATGCAGATCTGGATTTCAGAGAACATACTCCCCTCCACCAGGTAATTTACTACTTGCCTCTTTACAATGATGTTGAAAGATTTCAGAAACATGCCACTAATTTAATAGCTTTGATATAATTCTGCTCCAAACAATAATGTAGCCATTTTACCCATGTTTGCTAGAATTGTTTCATGAAGAATAGTAAGGATTGGACCAATGGTTCTCAACCCCGGGGTCACTTGCAACCCAGTCAGTACCCAGCTGAAGCCCATGTGACATTCTCAGGGCCAGCCAGACAGTGTGTATGATATTGTGTGGATGCATCCCACATAACACAGCTGTGTATGGAAGTCAACAATAGTAAATAGCTTGGGAACCACTGGACTGGATATTTGGTATTTTTAGCTGGACTGTGTATTTGGTGATAGAAATACAGGTGGGACCTCCCTGGTCCAGCACCCTTGGGACCTGACCAGTCTCGAATGAAGGATTTTTCCAGACCAGGGGAGGTCAACTCCTGCTGCTCTGCTGATGGACTCTAAGCTCTCCTGCTGCCGCGAAGCAGCCCCTGTTTGTGGGAACTCCCAACTTTCTGCTGGGACCTCCTGTGGACAGAGTGGAAAATCAGGCCCAGCATCTTTTCACTTGAAAACTGAACAAGTTTGATATAAACTAATTTCACATATATACAAGGATCCATCCATTGGATTTTTGAATATGTAAGATGCCTCTGCAGTAAGCTTGGTGCTTCCCAAAATGTAATTGTAGAAGAAAACAGTCTCCAGACTAGTGAGTTTACAGTCTTGACAGACAGTATCTCTTAGTCAAGTAATTCAGAAGGTGGATTTGTCACGAAGTCCTTCAAGCTTAGGACCAGAGATGATGAGGCTAGGCTGAAGTTTTTTAGAATGAAGCTGTTCTGAGTTCACCATTGGAGCAAGGCAGATGACCTCTTCGTCTTCAGCGAGTAGAGCTCTATGGTGCTGTTGTCTTCGCTTAGCCAGAGGCATTTGCAGCAGCAATGGGTTTACTGTCTGTGTCAGTCCCAATTTCCCCATTGGTGCAGGAAATCACTTCCACAGTACCATCAACTCTATCAGTGCAGGGTCCAGTGCCACAGCAGCTGCTCGTTTCTTGGAGCTCTCATCCTATGGTACATTCAAAGTTGAGAAAGATGATGTTGCTTTGGTCATCTCCAGGTTCTTGGTGCTGACTTCGGTGGTCAGAGGAGGCTGAGTCTTCATCTTCAGATTCAAAAGCTGGTTCCCCCCAGTACTGTCTCTATGATGCCTCCTGTCCCCCCCATCTCTGCTGCCTTTATCAGAGGCAGTGGGGGAGGGCAGGGGCTGCTGCTGCGAAGCAGCCCCTGTTTGTGGGAACTCCCAACTTTCTGCTGGGACCTCCTGTGGACAGAGGCTGCTGCTGGCTGGGCAGGCAGCCTGGCTTAGTAACTGGGTGCTGGACCAAACACTGCTGCAGCTCTGCAGTTTAAAAGGCAATAGGAGCCAGGCAGCCTGCTCTCCCACTCCTACGGCATGTTAAATTGCAGAGCTGCAGTGGGGTTTGGTCCCAGACAGTGCGAGCTGGGCTGCCTATCAACTAATTGAGTAGTCATTAAAAATTCTGTTGACTACTCGCTTAGTTAAATACCTGCCTCTTAACATCCCTTGTTCCTATGTCTCCTAAGTGCAAAGTACATCTAATCATTTCCTCTGAGCACTTACCACCCAGGCCACTTCTGAGACCTTGCAGCCTGTACTGGTGGGAACATACAGCTGGAAAGACATTGGAGACCAGCATCTTTTCTGTGGCCTAGTTAGAACCTATGGAGGCACCGTCCCATCTTTGGGTCCCCCCTTCACCACTCCTGTTTAGCATCATTGACTGTGTGGGGAGTCTTCTTGTCAACTTCCTGGTGATCTCACACCCAGTACCAGGCCCAATGTGGAGCAAAAGATAACACTACAGGAGGATCTTGCCACCAAATTGCCAGAGGAGGCTCAGCCTCTATTGACTTCATCCTTATTTTCCCGAGATGAGTCAGTTACCGTGTAAGGGCCCTCCCCTCCATCCAATGACTTCAAGACTAGCAGGAACTTTTGAAAAGGCTTGTGTCAGTCTCGGATATTAACGTGGAGGAAGTTAGGAAGTTGTCACATGAATTTGTTGAAATTTTGGCTGCAGTTGTGTGTTCTCTCACTTGATCTAACCAACTGAGGCAATTTTAGAACCCAACAAAACCCTGTGACAAAGTCCCTCTTCACTACCTCCAAACGGGATTGATGCTACATGCCCTCCCAAAGCTTTGAATATTTGTTTGGTCGTTGGTTGTTTCAGCTGCCAATAGGAGGGAATGTTTGGTAATGAGTTGTTACTCTTAAATCAAAGGATGCCAAAAAACTTGACTCCCTTTGGTAGGAAAATTTATTCTACATGAGTTACAACTTAGAATTAGCAACCAACAGGCTTTGTTAGGACATTATGACTTTCATTTCTGGGACTCTAATATTAAAGATTAAGGATAAGTTATCAGAGGACACAAAACAAATTTCTTTCACTGCTGCAGTCCTTAGGGCTGCCCAGGAAGTCCAGCAGGTGCCTCTGGACCTGCCCTTTGAAGGGTCCTCTCTATTCTCAGTATAGACGGATGATGAACTTCATGATTTAAAAGATTCCAAGGCAACTCTGAAGTGTGGCATTTGTAAGTGTAATGGGGTTAATTCACTGCTGTGGCACCTCCTGCTGTTCACACCAGGATTTAGCTTAGTCCATGTCATGCATCACCTCCTGGGCTGCATCTCACCCATCGTTGCTCTGCTCCACTATCTGGCTTAGGACCCGCATTGCTCCCTGGAGCACAGCGTCCTCTTCAGGACGTCACCCGCCAGCAGTGTCCACCACTCTGTTTTCGCTCCATTCCAGGGGTATCAGCAGTCATCAGTCTGACTGTGGCCAACTGCAGCCCACAGTCTAACCTTGCCTCAGGGCCAAGCTGCAGTCTGTGAAAGCCATGCTGTGGTGGATAGGTGCAATGCAAGGGGAGACCTAGGCTTGTCCACGATTCTGGGTCCTGACTCAGGAACCCTCTAGCAGCAATCTTGTCTTGCCCTCCTTCCCTCTCCTTGACTGCTTGCAATGTTCCCAGGCCCACTTCCCTGTGACCTTTGCACCTTCCTGGTCCTTGTATCAAGGCCACAGCCTTGGAAGTATTAGGCAGGAGCTTCTCTCTAGCACCCCTGAGCTGGCCCAGCTCTGCTCCAAATAAGGTGCTTCTCCCCATTGCTGGTCAGGACCCAACATCCGTCTGCTCTACTGAACAGCTCCTTGTAACAGGGCTGCTTCAGCAAGCTGCCTTCTGATTAACTCCCTATAAGCCTCTCTCTCATTGGCTGGGCTTTCCCTGGCCTGATAAGAAAAATAATAGGGATTGTAGATGCACACCATCTCCTTCTGTTGCAACAACTCCTAGTTCATCTAGGCACTCTGGGGCACTACACAAACATTTTGGCTGTCTCTACATTGGCATGATTTTGCGCAAAAGCAATCACTTTTGCGCAAAAACTTGCTGCCTGTCTACACTGGCGGGGAGTTCTTGCAAAAGAACACGGACATTCTAACGTGTGAAATCAGGGCTGGGCAGGAGGGGGGGGG